GAACAAAATTGATTTCAAAAAAATTATATGTTGGTCAGATTCGATGGTTGTGCTTTACTGGCTTAATAGCAGTCCTCATAAGTTCAAACCCTTTATCGCAAATAGAATCGCTATTATTCAGGAAAATCTACCAAATATGACATGGTGTCATGTTTCCTCCCAACACAATCCTGCAGACTGTGGCTCAAGGGGTATTTTTCCCTCCGAACTCATTGACCATCCCTTATGGTGGGTAGGGCCAACTTGGCTGCGCGATTCAAGCTATAGTTTACCAACGTTATCTAATGATTTTCAACAATTCGCAGATATTGACCTCGAAGAGAAGAAAATTGCATTAACTGGATTTACCGATTCCGATTTTTTAGACAATCTTTTAGAGAGATTTTCTTCATTGGAGAAAATTAAATCAATTGTCGCTTTCATACTCCGTTTTATCTATAATTTAAAAAACTCTGAAACTCGCAATATTGCTCATCTTTCTGATGTTGATTTACGATCTGCGTTATTTGTTCTTATTAAACGAACTCAAAATATATTTTTTCCTCATGTTATATCTGACATTAATAATAAAAAATTACTTCCTAAACAATTTAGAAAATTGAGTATATTCTTAGATGAACATAGCATTTTAAGAGTTGGTGGTAGGCTCAATAATTCATTGCTTAATTATGATCAGATGCATCCCATATTACTACCCCGAACATGTCGCTTAACTGAATTAATTATTATAGAAACTCATAAAAAAAATTGCCATCCTGGACTGCAAACGTTACAATGCCTATTAGTACAAAATTATTGGATTTTATCTCCACGCAGAGCCATTCACAATGTTATTTCAAAGTGCATGAAATGTTGGCGTCTAAATCCTAAGCCATTTCAACCCCTAATGGGGAATTTACCTCGTAGTCGAATAAGCCAAGTCAAGGCATTTAGTATTGTATCAATTGACTTCGGTGGTCCATATATGATTAATCTTACAAGACGTCGTGGAGCCAAGACACAAAAGGCCTACATTTGCGTATTTGTGTGTTTCGCAACCAAAGCGATACATATTGAACTTGTTTCCGATCTGAGTTCCGAAGCATTTTTAGGAGCATTGAGACGTTTTATTGCCCGACGTGGTCGTTGCTCACAGATTTATACCGACTGTGGTACTAATTTTGTAGGGGCAAATAGATATTTATTAGAAATAATGCAAAGTCATGCTCAATCAGAAAAAATTACTTGGTCGTTTCAACCGCCCGCAGGTAGTCATTTTTCAGGCTTAGTTGAGGCTGGTATTAAGTCTGTGAAGACTCATCTATCTCGTGTTATCGGTACTCAAATATTGTCATACGAAGAACTCAACACTGTTCTCATTCAAATTGAGGCATTGTTAAACTCTCGCCCATTGTGCCCTATGAGCTCTGACCCGAATGACATGTCGGTGTTAACTCCAGGACATTTTTTAACTCTCAACCCTTTAACAGCAATTCCTGACCCGGACTTGTCACATTTGAAACTTAACCGACTCAATCGATGGCAATTGCTTCAGCATTTACATGCCAGCTTTTGGCAACGATGGCACTCTGAATACCTACATACCTTACAGCAAAAATACAAATGGACTATTCCCATTGATCCTCCAAATATAGGAGATCTAGTCGTGATGAAATATGAAAACTCTCCTCCTCTCAAGTGGAAACTTGCGAGAATTATTGCATTACATAAGGGAACCGATTCAATTGTTAGAGTTGCTACCGTTAAAACTGAACAAGGAACTTATAAAAGGCCTCTTGTTAAATTGTGCCCATTACCAGTGGCATAATAGTTTCAATAAAATGTGATTTCATTTTTTTTGTATATACTTTTTTTTCTCATTTTTATTAACAGAATTTTCATTCTGTCACAATTATTTTTTTTGTTTAAGTTAAATTTCTATTTAACATAAAGGTGGGTAGTAAATGTTCAAGTAAATCTTTATTATTGGCTTGGGTAAAATTGTATAGAACCATTTATTCAAGTATGAATATTTTTTCGCGCTAAGAAAGCACCTCACTCCAATTATCGCGCATGTTAATTGGTGTCGCCTACCTGTGCGCAGCAGGACAAAATTTCGCTCTCATTCGATTTGCTACCATCGTGCTTATCATTATAACCGCTTACAAGTGTCTCCTACCCCGGGGATTTTCAATAAGAGCAATTTGCTAGAAAACCACCTGCTTCAGCTTCATATATTTCTGCCTTACATCATATCCTGACCAGGAACACCGCAGCCAGCCGGCTATTACACCATACCTGCATACACCCCATGGAAATATCAGGTGAGTGCAGTTGCTTTCTCGTATTAAAATCTAATTTTATATGGTCTATGCGATTTGAACCTGCCTAAGAAAATACAGTCCACTCAAATATCGAACAGAAAGTGACATAATAAACCTTTCCGCCAACTGATTTTGTAGAGAAAGGACCTGCAACATCAGAGTGAATTTTCTCCAAGATGTCTGAGCATGAGTTAGCAGGCTCTCTTGAAATTCTTCTTGTGATTTTAGAAGTCTCGCATGCTTCACAATCTATAAATGGTCGGTTTTTTTGGCAGAGCATCAGGATCTGCTATAGCCTTTCCGAGTTCTTTGAAGGATGTTATTGGTAAATGCCCCAATCGTCTGTGCCATGTCACAATATTGAAATTTGACGATTCTATATGAGCTTCTTGGAATACATTTTCTTTGAACTTCGACATCACCCAGCCAACAATTTTTCCATTCTTCCAGAGAGTTATATCCTTTTCACCTTTCATTGTTATTCCCTTGGTTTTCATCGTCTCCCAGGACATCAATGAGCATTTTAAATCGGGAGCATAAAGAACATCATGTAATGTCACATTGATTTTCTTACCGTTGGGCAACAAGGCATTCAGCTTAACATTGCCTATGTGAGTGATTTCCACCTGTTTATCGTTTCCTAATCGGATAGAGCCAGAGTGTGATGTGAGATTACAGAAAGCTTGCTTATTTCCAGACATATGAGAAGTCGCTCCTGTATCAAATATCCATTTCCACTTATTGATGGAGGATGTTGAAGCGGGATATGCTACTTCTTCATCATCATTATCTGAATCTGTTATGATGTTATTTGCTTTCTCTTCCTTATTTTTATTTCGGCAATTCTTCACGGTATGTCCTCTGTACCATTTCTTATGCTTTTTACAATAAACACATTCTTTTTGCGGATTTTTTCGTTCCCGTTTATCTCTGACATGGTATGCTTGATTATCTTGAGATGAAGATGTGGCATAGATAATTCCAATAACCGTGTACATATATCATCGTACGTTACATCTTGTTTAGTTTTCAAGTTATCGATTATATTATCCATCTCTTCTGGCAGGGTGGTCAGGAAAAACGATCCTTTGGCTTTCATAGAAACAGATAATGGTCGGAGACTCATTGAGAGTCTTTGAAGTTCTTTCAACTAGTCTAGACCATAATTCATTATATTTCGCAATGTGATCTGATATTGTGAACTTCGACTCACACCTGATACCAACAATAGATTTTACTAAGGCATGCAGTGAATATTCGTTTTTTCGATCGAATAAATCATTCAATACTTTCCACATATCCCAAGCATCCGAATAACACGTGATTTGCGGAGTTATATTGGTATCAACATTAAAATGGATAAAGGCTCTACAAAGAGAATGTCTGTAACGCCAGTCCTCGCACTTCGCATTATAACTCCGTAGTATCTCAGCTGAGCTACTCGGTGAAGGTGGAGATCTCGCAGGATTTTTTTCCTCGCCAGTTACAATTGTATACAAATTATATAAATCCATATACGCGAAAACCATTGTCCTCCATGAATGAAAATTTGCCAAACCATGTAATTTCTCGAACTTCGGGAACTTGTCCATGATGTTTCTTCGCAAATTTCTCGAATATTTTGATACTTCGTAGACTTGTTAATCAGCTTTGTTTAGTGTTATCGTGAATCACAACGAGCATGGGCCCATAACCTTTTGAATTCAGATATAACACAAAGAACTTGATGACAAGAGTATGATTGAGAAATATTCAATATTTATTGTCAAAGTCAGAATAAAACATAAAAACATCAGACTACAGAGTGTTACATATACAATGTAGATTTATGCAAGTATAGAATGTAGCACTGCTATTCAACAACATCTACTCTTGTAATATTGACATCTTATCTCATTTTTATAGTTTTTTTGTACAACTTCTATAGTTTCCTATTGGGTACCTAACAGCTGAGTAAATGGAGGATCATTTTCAGTTGAACTTGGAAAAAAAAGATCCTTCTCGAGTGTGAGTCTTATTTTACTGTCTTCTTTATTTTATTTTGTCAAATATATTTATGTATTTACCATGTTCCCTGCTATAAACAAATGTAATAAAGTTGATTGATTGATTCTTCTCGGAGAAAGATAGTAGATATATAGAATTTTGTACATAATCGGTAGAACTCATGTAGAACTGGTTATTTTTTCTGTTCAAGCAAAATTTTAAAAAAATTTGTACGTAACACGTAAGGAAATGCATTTTGTGTGACTTTGTGTTTTGCGGGATATCGCTTCGGTAGTCCCGCAAAATCCAATCGTTGCACAAAATCAAGAGTTATCAACTGGTTGAATAAATAGGGAGGTATTCCCCTCTCCCCAACTATCTTCGAAAATGGTGCAGAAAACGTATGGTGGGGGACACAATAGAATTTGTCAAAATTGTATTATTTGACATATACCAACTGGAACAACACTATAATTGGAATTTTATTTTTGGCAAATTCCATTTCATCAAGTTATCATCATCAAACTTATAAAAAATAGCCATCCAACATTAAGCTGCATTTGTATTGCAATATGTGAAAACCTAGAAGGCAAAATGAGGAATCACTCGACCCCATGATCCATTAAAAATGATCATCTTTCTCCTTACCAAATCCAATACCATTAATCAGTTGTATTATTCACTATTTCAACATATTTTGATGCTACTTACTCTGAGGAAATATATTCCGTGTGAATCCCCGGGTCAGTTAATTTCACAGTAAACGAATTTTCATCGTGAACATTGACCATCAGTTTCCTACATCTGATCTTCCCATGAACCATATTATTTTCAGTCTGCAAATGCAATGAATGGAACATAATTATTCGGATCATACAGTATATCATAGATCTATGAAAAGTATGGACTAGCCGTCAATGTTTTTTGAATACTCTGTTTTGTTCCTAACATCAGAGAGAGGGAGAGGTTACAGTGGAGGATGGAGAAGTTTATATTAGCAGAATTCTTCATGTATTGTTTTTTCTACGAGCGCGCGTGGAGTCGTACTTTTCTGCATATATTTGCGTGTTACATTTTTACGTACGCCGTGCGTGCGGAAAAGAGAAACTACTCAAAAATCTCACTGGTATTGAACATTTGAATTCATTTTAGTTGCCCTAGACTATTTTATGCAATATGAGAAGCCGTCGCAAGTGCATGTCTTCAGGAATTTTTATTAGAGATATAAATTTTATAGTAAAAACCGCATACGTCATGCAATTACGGAAATACAAATTCGCGAACGCGAATATGGCGCGGAGTACGTAGGACAGCACCAAGGATTATACGACTTTTTTTATGTTCTGGTATCCACGAAAAGGGATATCCTGTAATGTTCAGAGAACATCGTGAGAACCAAGGGAAATTAGGTAGGAATTGGTGTTCTTCTTAAATTTCTGGAGGTTATATGAATCGGGGAACACCTCCCTAGGCAATGTGTTCCAGAGCCTCGCTGTTCGTTGGACGAACAAGTCTTTGGAAAGATATGTTCTGCAGGTCTCCAAAGTGACCATGAAGGGGTGCCAAGCCTCAACTCGACGGGTTAATCTCGCGGGGACTGCCAAGGTAGGAACAATTGTTGATATTTCAGAAGAGCATCGTCCATGAAAATATCTATAAAATAGAGCCAGTTCGCTAACTTTTCTACGGTGTCCCAGCGAAGTGAGTGAGTTTGTGAGCGAGGCATCACCCACGAGACGAATTCCCCTATTTTGGACAGAATCCAACAGTTTCAGGGTATGTTTGGGTGCTGCACTCCAAATATGGGAACTGTATTCCAGGACGGGTCGGATCTGTGCCTTATAGATCATAAGCAGCTGACTGGAAGTGAAATAGCTCCTGGCCCGAAACAGAAAACCAAGTTTTTGCATGGGATGCACTTTTAGCAATTGATCTCATGTGATTTTCCCAAGAAAGGTTTATGCTGATAGTAATCCCAAGCATCGAAATGGATGTCTGCAAAGGTATGGTTACTCCTGACGGGCTTACGTTGGGCACAGTGAGATCGGCTTTCCTAGAGAAAAGGCATGCTTGTGTTTTGTTTGCATTGAAATCTACCAAGTTATTGGATACCCATTCGAGGACTGTTGCCAAGTCCATATTTACGTTGTCAACATTTCTCCCTCGTTCGTTTCTGATTTGCCTGGCTGGAATTGGAGCCCTGGAAGAGAAGGCGGTATGGAGGGTACTATCATCCGCGAAGCTGTGTACTGGACATGAAGTTGCTTCGAACAAATCGTTGATATAGAGTAAAAATAGTGTTGGTGCTAGAATTGATCCTTGCGGAACACCAGCATTTATGATAAGAGAGTCAGATGAAACTCTGTCGACCACTACATAGAGATACCTGTTTGAGAGAGAACTAGCTAGCAGAGAACATAGCTGGGGAGGCAAGCCATAAGATGGAAGCTTGGCGAGGAGTCCATGGTGCCAGACTCGATCGAATGCCTTGGAGATATCAAGTGCCACGGCTATAATATAAGTTCCGCGATTGATAACTGATAACTAACTAACTGAGAGAATGATAAATATATTATAAAGTGATTAAGGAATTTCGCCGAGTTGATCATGAACTACAGGATGATGTCATTTTCATCACCGAAAATCTTCATGATCAACCTATATATTCCAACGAAATCATATTCATACCCTATGAAATGTATGAATTGTGATTCATGATGGAATGAGAATAGTAAATTGCATGCCGGAATAATTTTCTCGATATTTCATTATTACATCTAATTTTCAGACATCACAATTTTTTTTTTATTTTCCATTCTGTATACAATGACCATCTGAATAATATTGAGTAATATTAAGGTACTTTAATGATATGAGCGAAAAAAAATGCACTTGACACTTTCAAATCTCGAGAAAATAATTAAATAAAAATTCCCGATTTCTAAATTCAACGCCCTGTATCTCAAAATCTGTTCATCAATGAATTCTACGATTCTGCTCGTTCAATCAATTCATCTAATTCTACAACATACTAAAAGTTCAAAAAATTTTGTCGAGAACCATTCTACTTACAAAAAGTGGGGCAACCTCAATATCATTGAGGAAACAGTGTGTAGATAGTACCTATATTATCACATCCCCTTGGAGTTCAAAATGGAATACGACAGTTTATTCGCGACATTATGCACAGCACAATCAAACCCACAAACTCTATGACGTACTCTGTTCACATTATGCCATGAACAGAGACAACTATAGGAACAAAATCAACTTTAGCAACACAAACGAACATACCTAATGTTGATAATGAGCAATCAAAATAATAACTACTAGAAACTTGCTAGAAGCTATAAACTAGATGGTAGTACAAGAGCTAAAGGAAATCAACAAAACAATGCACTTACTTCCAAGTACCTACTTACAAATACAAACAACAACAAACAGAAAACCAACTAATCAATAGAGAAGAAGAAACACTAAGAAAAATAATTAATAAAAAATATCGCAATTTTAAAGGATTCGTAGAAAGATAGGGAAGGAAGTCAACAGCCAACCACCAGACGTCAAAACTGTCAGGTACCCATTCTTCTCTTCAACAAATATCTGTGGTTGAATGGTTGAGTACTGTTTCGAAAAAAAAAATTGAAGAATTCATCCTAAAACAGTAACACTGACATTGAAACAAATGAGGTATTGACAGTCCTATACAGTAGCACCATTGACAGGCAGACAAATTTTGGGTCAATGAACAGACAATATTATACCTCTCGCCAACTAACTAGCTATTCCATTTAGATCGACAATGCCTCAACAACAACTTGTATGTGAAACAGTGGAAAAAAACAAGGAAATATACCTACCAAATCTAATTTGTAATTCACTTGTGGAATTTGATATCAACATCTTACTTATATTTTACAGAGCAATTATATGCCGCATATGTCACTATTTTCAAATTTTGAAATGAAATTATAAACAGTGAAGAATTAAACCATCACTGACATATTAACATATTCAGGACTAATATCACTAATGTCAGTTATTATGTCACAATAAGGTCCTTCAAGTTCTTCTCTGAACATGGTGGCAATAGTAGCTTAATTGGTCTTCAGAAGACAAGTCCATACTTCTGATAGGTCTCTAGGAGCAAACAAAGCTCTTAATGGCCCAGAACCCTTCTGTGGTATTGCGAAAGCTATACAAAAGACTAGTATCAAATCATGGATGCAAACCAAATCTCAAGAATGGTGGAACAACTCGCCAGGAATGAGACAGGCTAAAGAGTTTATTAAAAAACCATCGCCAACATTCACAGAATATCTACTAAGCCAGAAACGCAGTTCAACTAGAATACTAGTGGGACTTCTCACAGGGCATTTTAGGCTCAACAAACACATGAGTACGATAGGTCTGACTGAAGAACTGATGTGCAGGTTCTGTCAAAAAGAGGAAGAAACAGCAGTACACATACTTTGCCACTGTGAGGGCTTGTCAAGACTAAGGTTCCTTACGCTGGGTGAGGAAAAACCAGGAGCCCAGAGATACACAGGAGATCTGAAAGCTAGCCTATGGAGTCTCATAGAGAAGGCGGGGCTAGCCGAAGAACTCTAATCGATTTTGAGGGCAGACACAATAGATCTGAAAAGGTCGCAGTGTGGAGGCAGATAGCCCGAAGGCCCCATTCCAAATCTAATCTAATCTAGGTCTCTATGAGGTATATAAAATATGGAATACATTTATTATCAGAAAATCAAGAATCAGGATAATTCTCGGAGAGTTTGTGTTGTAAATATAGAGAGTGATCCGCATCTGAGTGGAATTGAATCGTCAGCGATAATTGATTGTAGTATACAGTAAATATATTTATGAGAATTACCAAATGCCAGAGTGCGGAAGCCAAATTACTTGATGCTTCTATAAGATCCACTTGTTTTAGAATCCCTTGATTCTTCCTTAGATATTGATCAAGAGGTCCTAAGCGGAAATATTCCATCACAAGTGAAATGTTACTCGTGAAAGCTATACCATATAGCCTTACTATTGCACTGGAGTGTAGAAATGCCCATTGGCCAGCAAGGTTCATAAAATCCTGAAATATCGTAATTTGTAAATGATAATTTTTGAAAACATGGTTATGTCATTTACCTTCAAATATCTATCAGAATATTCTTGCTTCAACATTTTCATTGCCACCTCAATTTTTTTTCCTTGTGTCACTTTCCACATACTTCGAAAGACGGCAGTGATACCTTTCGAACCTTCCCTTTTTTGACCTATAACACAAAAATTATATATTGAGTGAAGAAATTTCAAATGAATAGGTAGAAGGATGGCATTGGGCATTCCCGATCCCTCGTGTAATCCGTCGTATATGCTTTCGAAATTGACATTTCGTATGCAATCGTGATTTGCTATTGGATGATAAACATGCCATAGATTAACGACTCTGTGAAACGTCACTTTCCTTGACATACGATGAGAAATACATTCATGTTCTTTGAGAACGAATCAAAAGTTGTTATTTTAATAGGATGGTACGACCTGCTGTGAATATATTTTGTTTTCGAAAAATCCTCGAATTTATCCAACAATTGAGAAGCTAAATTATACACAAGATCAGATCAAATATTAATATTGTGACATCTCATCGTCCTGTCAAATGCAAATATTCATTCTAAAAAATACGAAACAATCGTGAAATACATGGTACGAGTTTGAAGCACGTCTTAATTTTACAACCTGTTGGCCCAGGTCCTCCCAAATTTGAATCATCAAGAAGGTCCCAGAGATTTTCAATGGGATTTGAATCTGGTCCCCGAGCTGGTAATGCCATGGTAGCGATACAGACTGCCTCTAGATGATTTCTCACAACTCGGGCGACCTGAAGACTGGTATCATCTTGCATCAACAAAAATCATTACATTATATGTTGTTCTAAAATCACCAATATGTACCTTTCAGGTGTATGGCTTCCATTTATGATCATAAGATCCATGCGACCAGTCAAAGAAATGCCATCCCAGACCATAGCCTGCTACTTTCGTGCTTATAATACCAATTTAATCGAATGAAGTCATGCAATGCTATAAAATTGTGTTTCTGGAGAAATAGGAAAGAGAATTGAGTAGATTCAAAGAAATGAATGTTGAAAAATGATAAGGCTAAAGTGTACTTTCAATTTCAACTTGATAACTGTTACACTCCACAGGGTATTAAAAATCTCTTAAAAAAACACTGCTACACCCGGTATTCATAATAAAGAGGTTCTTATGCGAATAAAGATTGCATGCCAATATTCAGAAGATAACATATCATTCAAAACAAAAATCGTCCAAATCGGACAAGTAGTTTCGACGAAAATGTATCTCAAACTCTTTTGAAGAATTGTAGTTTATGTGCTCCTTCCACGTAAGGAGTTAATCTACCAAGTACTTGTTGTTCCAAGGAGCGATGAGAATTATGCAGTTTTATGCTTTGCATAGTAGTACGTAGGGATCTATTTGACAGAGCGAAAGTCATACATTTTGTTTTACTTACATTCAGGGAGAGAAAGCTATCATCTAACCTCTTATTAATTTTTGTCATCGCTTATTTCCGCACTTTCTACAGTAGTTTCCCAGGTGTTTATGACCGCTGTATCATCGACAAAGCAGAAGAGTTTTTCTCTAACAATACCATTTACGTTAAATTAAATAAGAGTGGTCCCAGTACTGTGCCTTGTGGCACACCAAATTCCACTTTTATACGGTCACTCAAGACATTGCATATCTTCACACATTGCGTTCTTCCACTTAGATAGGATCTCAATAAGTCGTTTGCAATGCCTCTTATGCCGATGTTGTTTAGCCTATCCAAGAGGATCGACTGTACCACAGTGTCGGAGGTTTTAGTAAATTCTAAAAATATTTAATAACCTTTCCCTGTTCAAGATTTTGTAGATTTTTTTCTGTGTCCCTATACATAGAATTTTCAGTACTGAAATGCTTCCTAAAGGCAAACTGATTGCCATCTAGTAGGGCATATTTTTCCAAAAATAACATTGGATTATGCTCAATAAATTTTTCAATGAATTTGCTCAGGAGTGCAATACAAAAAATGACCCATTCAAAGATGAAACCATATACCGAATTTGACTCCATTATATTCCATTTTTCTTGAGATATTGCGAAAAAACTTTCAATTTCTCAACTTCAACGCCCTGTATCTCGTGAACTGGACACTTGAAGACCGTATGTCCCTTACTCAGTGATTATGAAATCACGAGGGCTATCACCTGTCAAGCGTTGTCGGTCGAATTTCGTAACACCCTGTATATTCAAATCATTGAAAAATAAAAATAATTTCAAATGTGAGGCTTTGTTGTTAGTAATACATGAACGTTATTCCTGAATTCAAGTATAGATAGTTAATAATGTTAATGGTGTTGTACTGTCTGTTGTACACACTAGTCGAATTTACGCCATATATCTAATTTATTCTGAATATTCCATGTATTAAAAGTATTCAATACAGTTAATCGGAATAATCATCTCTCAAAAACGTTTGCTCTCGATGACGTGACATACCGATAAGCACTATAAGTGTTCTATTGCTCAATAACCAAAGAACATTTTTTCACATTCTATATCGAAATAAAAATTTACTTCCACAGTAGGAGTGTACTGAAACAAACACAATACATAAGTCGTATGGTATATAATTGCAATTCATTGATCGCGGTATATGACGTCACGCGCTGTCCCGCATTTTTCATGTTATACGTAATCAAAACTACATCGCCCTGAGGAGAAACCTGTTTGCGTTAGTGAACAGTTTGGGTTAGTTCTTCAAAATAAAGAGATGTCATTTTTTACTGAAACATGCTCATTGAGGCAAAGATGCCACACACTGTAGATAGACAACGCATGTGTAAAAATTGGCAACGCTCCGTCCTCCGATGGTATGTAACAAACCGGCAGCTAATCCGCTGTGCTGATTCGTTGTACAAATATTAATATCGGAGTCAGTGAAATCCACAGAGGATTACCCACATTATCATATTTATGGTGTCTATCTAGACATTTATGGTGTCTATCTAGACTCTAGAGAGTGTATGATTTTTGATTGAGGAATATGATCGATTCTAAAGAATGCTTTGGTAAATTGAAATTATCATCTCCTCAGTGTGAATATATTGTCCTCAAGGAGACTCAATGGCGAGCGAACAGCTTGTTTTGTTACAGCTTTTAGGGGAATGATAAAAGAGGTAGAACTTGTGATCCTATATTCTTCTATTTCTATTGTACCTAGAACTTTTCAAAATACAAAACTTATAATAGACAACTAAAAAACAAACAACAAGTAATATAACAATAAGAACAATACATATGACAGCAGTCAAAACATTATCTTCTGTTTTCATCCAACCAAATAATGGTGCAGTGAGTTTATCCTCCATCAAGTTAGTATACAAATTAGGAGCCTTCTTCACGTTTATTCTCACATAATTCGTAACCCATAGAAGTTTCAAATCTTTTTGTTGAACAACACATTTCCAATCTCCCGAATGAGAAGTGTTTAATGATTCAAAGAAGTGGGTATTTACTGCTGCCAGCATCGTTAAACCATGATCCAAGTAAATTTTATCATTCAGGTACAATGCCATACTTAAATCTGTGTAAATATAACCTAGAATGACTGCATTACATGGAAGAGTTAGTGATCTTGTTGCTCTGGTATCAATATCATAATCTAATGATTTAACTGCAAGAGATATCACTCGTAGTATGACTCGCTTCTTGTTTATCCTGAATAACATGCAAACATAGAGCCCTGAATCATAGGATTTCGCATTTTTTATTTCGATATCATCTTTTCTGAAGATTACTCGGTTCGGTTCAGGTTTGATGAAGACTCCATTCAATGTCCACTCATAGTAAGCCTTAGGAGATTCTTTGGCTACTGTTTTCAATAGGTTTCTGTTGTTTTGCAATATTTGTATGGTACCTACAAAATAGTGATTATAATTTCATGAGACTGATGAAAGCTTTCAAAATCCTCAATTTCCTCATACTTCGAATTTGGCGTTAGCGAAATATATTCGATATGACTTTTCTTTTCTGATTTATTTTGATAGTTTAATCATCAGTTCGTAAATGAGAAATATAAATGTATAATTGGAGTTGAATTTGTAAGTCTGACAAAAAATTGAACACACGCTAAAATTCCTACTGATATTTTTCATGGTTTCCCAATTTTCAAATTTTCAAAATTTTCAATTGTCAAATTTTCAATTTTGATGTTTTTTATTTTCAAGTAAAATTTCCCCTCTAGACTTCCAGAATAAAATGTTATAACCATATACAGTTTTCACAGAAAGTTTCCGTTTGAGTCATCTCAAAAGTCGTGGATCTAATTATATGGGGTAGCTTATCTGTGGCATGTGGCAAGTATGTGAAAAGCTGAAGTATGAAGACAGTTTAGATACATTTTTCTCTGGGAATTTGCTCGCGACCCCTCATTGGAAAGCTGGTTGAAAGAATAATCTAGCGTACTGATCATATTTCAGTTTGCGGTACGTTTAGGGGTCGCATAAAATCAAAATATAATTTCGAAGTTTGATTTATTTTCAACGTAATTTCATCAAAATTTCGACTTTTAGAGACAGTGATTTAGGGCATCTCCACCAGTTTGCAATAACACTTCGTTTAGACCTGTGAATACGACAAAAAAAACAAATTGCTTTTTGCGGCTCTATAAAAACACTGGAATACAATAGCAGATAGCAGTTGTGGCAAAAAATTGCCATCATTTGTTCAACACAAATTTTGAGCGATTGATACGCTGAAAAAAAAATTAATTTCAAAATTACATTTCAATTTTATACAACCTTTAAACGTATGATAAACTAAAATTTTACTAGTACGCTGGATTCCTCCTTCCACCAGCTATTCAATGAGGGGTCACAAGCCATAGGGTTACTTTTGAAAAAAATTATGTCGAGGGTGGTTTCAGAGCTACCCCTGTAGGGATATATTCTCGATATTGCTTGCAAAAGGTAGGTGAATACATTAAATCGTTGACGTATGCCGGGAATATTTATAACAAATATTCACCTCCCCGCTAACGAATTTGTTCCAGTTGAAGTCTCCACACTGTATTGAATAACCCTGTGCGTTATAATCTTCCGAGTGTCGCGCGGGCACTAACCTTCCTCGATAACAAAGTTGAAGTTCTCCTTTCGCAAATACTCCCGAATATTCTCCAAAGTCTCAGGACTGACATCGCCGCAAGG